ATTGTTGTTTTTATAGCTGAAATACGATACGGGAACAGATTATAGATTCATGCACATTTTAAATCGTATACTTACACACTTATGTATAGCTTCAATCATTGTACCTAAACGGCTATAATGATAAACTATATGACTATGTACAAAAGATTAAATTAATTTTTTTTTTTAAATGGCTCTTTACGTTTACCTATCTATATAAATATAACATAGGTAGTAGGAACTATGTAATATAATATGTGGAGTGTACTGAGTGTAGGGTTATCATTTATTATAATTAATAAAAATATCACATAATAAAGCAACCCTGAGCCTGGAGATAAATCAATAAAAAATTGTATTAATAAATTATACCTACTAAATAATATAAGGATACCTATGCATAATGCATATTATACACACTGCATCACTGTATAAAGTACATTGGTACCTATAGCTATAATATATAATGCATACATTGAGAATTATTACTTGTTTTTAAATATTTATGATTATAACTATTTATTTTAATTTCACATACCATGCACATGTATTGTATTTTTATTTATGGGAATTGTTTCCATTTAAATGACATTAATGTACAATGTATTAATGTATAATATATAATGGATGTTTCATATTACCCTATTTTATTGTTGTACAAAATTCAAAGTTTTGATTGAAAAATTAATTAGTGTTCTTCCGATGTTTAACTGTTGACAGCATTTCAATAAAAATAAAATATTGATGTATGGCTATTATTTTATTACTTGAAATAATGTGACATTATTCGGTATAGATTTGATTCTGATTTGTCCATTAGTCAAAACGAATATGCAAATAAAATACGGACATTATTATTTTTATTTATTAARTATCAAATTATATGGATTTATCAAATTACGAAGAGATCTTATATGGTATAATATAAAACTATGTATACAACAAAAGGACTGAAAAATGCTATAAAAATTATTTTCAAAAATTACAACTTTTATGTTGGAGYAGTAGTTATTATATTATTACTTATGTCAAGTATACTGGGTGTAACATGCAGGAAGTCCTATAGATGAAGAAGTAAATTAATTTAAATAGTAATAACTTTTTTTGACATAAATATAATATATTTCTTAAATTATTTATTTAACATATAATTGTTACAATTTGTATTAGGGYAAAAATAATATTCCAGTAAAGATGTCCAGAGAGATATCGTATATTAAATTAGAGATTGATAAATAATAATTATTAACAAATGTTTAACTATATAAGTACATTTTACATATTAATATAGTATTATATATAATTATCCATCAAAATATTTGATCCCAAATTAAATCACTTAAAATCTTATGATTTGATGATATACTATCACAAAAGTTTCATCCATAGACTTATAATAAATCGATTATAAGTCTATGGTTTCATCTTATTCCGACCATTTAGTATTATTTACTTCGCACTAACTTTCAAAAACATGCACATATAGCACATGCATACTCAACTATAAATGTCTAAATTCTACTTAACAACTTTTATAGATAAACTTTTAAGTAGAAATGTAATAGTTATATAACTATAAAGTACTTACATGTCTAATGTTTGTATAATAGTTTTAATTTACCAGTTAACGTGTTAGAAATCACGATGTTATGGTTGTCTTCTCTTCGCCATGTTATTGTTGGACTTGGGTATCCTGTAGCGGCACACTGTAATGTGACGTTACTTCCTTCGTGCACTACCATGTCTGAACTGGTTGGATAGTCTAAAATATCTGGAGGAACTAAAAAAGTAAAATAGATTATAAAAATATGTATTTTGTAAAAGAACATGACAGCGTTTCCCAGACTTAAAGTTGTAGCAAACTAGCAACCCACTATTTATAGCAATACACATAAATACGATATTAAAATTTACTTTACTAATACTTCARAATAAATTTTACTCGAGCTAATACTATATCAGATGTAGTTTTATGGATATTAATTATGTATATTCATTGGTATACGCATTTTACATTTGATAATTTTTATGTAGGTACAGTGTAAATATGTTCTCGTTAATCCGTTATCCAATCTATGTACCTATGAGTTATATTATGTTTATATTGTGGCTTGTGGGGTACATACAAAATTCAGTGCCATAGACATAACTTTTGCATATGGTGAGGGGGAGAGGGGGAAAACCAAAACCCATATACAAAAATAGACATTTCAAGGTATTTCAAATATCCTACGAAAAATGAAAAAATAGTTTTAGGTGAATTCAAATGTTTAGTTATATACGCATCTACACAATTATATAGATTAATTACGGGCTGTATAATAAAATGTATACATATTTAATACACTATGTTTCAAAATATTATAATAAAATACCAACTAATATTATAAAACAATTTTATTTTTTTTTGTTAATATTTGTCTATTATCTACTTCCTCATCGGTATGATAGGAATACGTGGATACACGTATTTCGCGTTTTACAAGTTATTT